AAGACATGTCTACTGGAATCTATCAATGTGACCTTATTTAGAAATAGGATCTTTGCGGATGTAATTAAGATAGGGATGAATCATCTTGGGCTATTTAGGGGGGCTCTAAATCCAATGATAAGTGTCCTTAAAAAGGCAGAGGGAGACTGAGACAGAGGAGGAGGCCCGGTGAGATGAAGCCTGATGGGAGAGATGGAGCATCATGGATCGAGGAACACCTGCAGGCACCAGGCCCGGGAGAGGCAGGCAGGATTCTCCCCTGGACTCCTCAGAAGGAGCTAGACTCTGCTGACACCTTGATTTCAGACTTCTGGTCTCCCCAACTGTGAGAAAATAAATTTCTGTTGTTGTAAGCCTCCAAGTTTGCGGTAATTTGTTACGGCAACCCTAGGAAAGTATACAGATTTATATCAAGAAAATCCCTGTCCCCAAATATATTTCTGCTGTTGCTAGAAATTCCATCATTAGAAAATTTATTTCTTTGGTTTAAATTGCAGCCTCTTTTAAAATAAAATATGTAAGGTCCCTTAGGAAAGGTAACATACTTCGGAGAATGAATTTTCCACATTATGTACTCTGTGAATGGATGGCTGGGGCCTGCAGGAAAGCACTGGGTACTTGGAATAAGGAGTGACTCTAAAAAAGGTAAGGGAATTGGCTCTAAAAGACCATCTTGACTTGCAAAGCAACTTGTCTGACATTTGGCCCAGAGATTCAGTATTTCATTGATTCTCAGTGAAAGAAGCAAAGATTTTGAGAAATCTCAAGCAGTATTGCCATCTAGGAAGATCCCACTGTGGATTAATTGCAGTACGCCCCTTGCTATAAGACACAGGGTCCATAAGGCCAGTGGAACATGGCCTTAAAACTAGCACTTTTCCCTCCCAGACCATGATGCAGGTGCCCAGAATCCCCAAACTCCTTGCCCAAATGACCTCAAAACCATTTCCCAGGTTCACATGTCTTGTGTCTCTAGGTTTGGACCACACCACCAGCGTGCACACTCCTAGGCCTGGGAGGGTCAGTGTGAGAGGCTTTTCAGTACAGAATGGAGCCAGAAATGGAGAGAAGAGGCTTACATGGGACTTGTCTCTTTTGGCACTTGGTAAATTCTAAACTCAAACATGGCCTTCTTGTCCTTTATAAAGGTATATTTGTCAAGCATTGAACATAGTTTACTAAACAGTTAGTTTGGTCTGTAAATATTCAGACACATGGAATGTGGGCCTGCATTCACCCTCTTTCCCAAAAGCTAAGGATGGCCTTCACTCCAAGATATGCAGCTCTTTAAAAACACTCCGCAGAGGCAGAGAAGTGAGCCAACAGCAGTCCATAAAAGGCAGGGTGTAAAAAACAGAATCACACTGCTGGATCTGCCACGGGCGGGGGGCGGGGAGGAACGGAACTGGTAGTAAAATCCAAGAGTCACACCAAGCGTGCAAATGACTGCATGGTAGACCGCAGATACAGGCTCTCTCATCTTTCAGTTATTTGCCTTAAAGAAAAAAAGACACTTAAAGTCTTTGAACTGTGGTGTCTTCAAATATAACATTGGGATGATTAAACCTATGCCAAAGAGTTACTATGAGAAGTCAGAAAGGAGTAAATTAAAGTCACTGCTTTAAGTGAGGGCGCATAGGGCGTGCCATGTAAACTGTAACTCTCCTTGTTACTGCTGTTGTCACTTCCTCCACAGCGTCACAGGAGCAGGGTAGGAAGAGGCCGCACAGGCTGCGGCACAGCCCTGGGCACCTTGCTCAAAGCATCGGCCTCTCAGGAAATGAGGCCGGCCTTGCTATCCAAAATGGACTTTTGCTTGGCTGTACCGACACCTACATGTGGTGAAAATAAGCAGCCGAAGACAACGTAGCTTATGTTATAAGAGTCATAAATGTGAATCTTAAATGTGATTTTCGGTTCCGGTTAGCTCAAACCAGATCTCTCTCTGATGCGATACAGGGAGGTGTTGTTACTAATTTTTAATAATTGGGTACTTTATGAGAAAATAGATGGGCTGCTTTGAAATGAAAACTATATGTAGTTTATTGAAAAGTAATTTGAGAACAATTACATATATTCAACTGAAAGTTATAAAAGGCAGACTCTTAAATCTCATTCTCTCTTTACTCATTTCTGGCCATCCTTGGTCAGCAGGGACTGCTGTGGGAATGGCTTTTGTTTTGGTTTAGCTCAGAGTGTTTTACTTCTTTCAGCCAGCAGAACTTGTTAATTTCCTTTGTGGGCTGCATCCCTCTGGGTCCTTTTCAAGCAGCTGGGATGATTGCTTCTTTGTATCACAAGCTTTATTGTAATTGCAGAGATTTTTTTTTTCCCTTCTATAACTAGAACCACTAAAAGATTTTAAGTAACAAAGTCTTTACCAGGTGTTTCTAAGAAGGGCCCTTGCTTTATTATTGTCTACAAAAAGCCAGCCTGCTTGTTGTGGGTTATTTGATGGCTAGGAATGGATGTCCTCTCTTTCTGCATTTTGGGTCAGTGTCCTTGTTCTGTCTTGACCTCAAGTACTTGCTCTGTGTTCTGCCCAGTTGATTCCATGTTGTTCATAAAGCTCTGGCTTTTAAATGAACACTTTTTTTCTTTTGGTATGCAAAGAGGAACGTTCCAATGAGATCATAGCCAAATATTGATTCTCTATTAAGCAGACACATAAATACCTTTTTATTTCCTGTGTAGCCACCTTAAGCATGCTGTTATGATTTTCACTGCTTCGCCCTACTGGTCATTTGGCTGCTAAAGCACCCAGGATAATACAGGGTGAGGAAAAGAAAAAAGAATGAATGGCCAGGGTTCAAGAATGCTATACCTTAGTGGGACCAACCATTTCAATTCCAATTTTTAGGCAACATGCAGTATGATCTTTCTTGGGGGCTTATCGATAGCTTGAGAAAAAAATGCTGATGAATGTGGAAAAGCTAAAAGAGGTAGCTAATACACAAAAAGTTCAGAATCAGGAGACTAAAATCTTTATACCAGAGTGATAAGTGGAAACCAACAGTGTCAAATGCAGAATGGGTAAATGTAGTTTCCTCCACTGATGCTGGAAAACCTGTCATTCAGGTGCAGGTGGGGAGATGTGTCTTAACAGCTGGGCATGTTCCAGAGGCTCAGTCTTCACATCGGCATTAGAAGCTGGTGTGGCCTTCAAAGCTTTTCACACCCTGGCCTTTACCTTCCTGTCGAGCCTCATACCTAATGACATTTTCTACCAACCCACTCTCCTAAGACAGGTAATGGGGAGATAGGTTTTAGCTCAACATAAGAAAGAATTTTCTAATAACAGAACTGTCCAAAAATAGAATGAACTTTCTCCAGAAGCAGCCAGTGCCCCCAGCAATAAGGGGTTCCAGCTGAGCCTTAATAACCTTTTGCAAGGTAATTGGAAAAGGGATTGAATCAGTATAACTAAGAAAATAGACTCTGGAATAAAAAAAAAAAGTTCAAAGACTTTAAATAGATGCATTATTTGGGGCAGAGTGGTGGTTTCTGGAGCTTGTCAACCTGGTTTTCAATCCAGGTATGCCACCTACTAGCTGTATGACCTTGGCATATCATTAAAGATCTTCTGGCCTCAGTTATCTCATCTGTAAAATGTGGACTGCATTACTGTCTTTGGAAGCACCATTCTGAGCATTGTCTGGGAATTGAGCAAGTTAACATACATAAAACTCTTAGAACATTATCTGGCATATAGTAATCATTTAACAAATGTTAGTAATAATTATTATTTAACTACTGAAATCTATATTTTCTCCTTGGTAAAATAGACTTTTTTTGAAAAAGAAATGTATGATTAATGTAATGCTTATCATACTAAACTATGATTATTAGTTTACTGAAATGTTTTGCAGTATAGAATATCGAACGTTTCTTATAAACCTGAGATTCTGTGCCCAATGCCCAGATGCCAGAGGATTTTTTTTCCACATATGCTGTGGAGGCAGATACCTATAACTTGTGTATAGAAACAAAATATTCCATCATTCCATCAATTTAATCTATCAATGATGGGAGGGGAGATAAGGGAGAGGGAGAAAGAAAAAAATGAAAACTTTAAGATTATAATTCTCATTGTGAATAGTCCATGAATCAACATATGGACAATTAGGTACCAAAAGAGAGTTTTTTAAAAAAAAAGAGTACACAGAATAATGATTCTGATATATAATATATTTGCTATTCCTCATTATCATTGTCTTCCTATTAGGTTTGAAAAAATATGCATTTTTCAGGTTGAAGGATAGAAATTGATTTCCAAATTCCTACATAATTTTTCTCCCATATTCCAAAAGCTACAAAATTCCTTGTTGGTCTGGTCACCTACATGGAGCCGTCAGTATCATGACACATGTCAGTTGCCCTTCTCTGTGAATAATATTTTTGGAATATATTTTTTGACATTGTGGATTTAAAGAGAATTCTAATACATATCATTTAACTTCCATCTTCTATCCTGGTATTAAAATAGTAGAACAGAGACACCTATTCTCACAGCTTCTAGCTCTTCGGATTGGGAATTGAGCTGTCCCACCAACTGGCTTTATTTAGTTTCCAATGGGACAGTTCATGTATACCTCTGTGGAGTAAGTACAAATGTGTGCATGCACCGGCCCCAGGGAACATCCAAAGGGAACATAGAATTGCATCCCCAATTTTTAGATTAATATTCTGTGCTTGGAATGGAAGGAGGAGAAAGTAAGAAGTGTGGCTACAAGATAGTTATATAACAAAGCAGGTAGTTGGCTGTGTATGAGGTAGGTACTGTCAGTACTTTGGGATTCAGAGATATCTCTGGACAGATGTGGGGAGCAGTCATCCTTAAGAGGCGCTGCTCTAGGGCAAGAGCAAATGCTGTGTGGCTGTTGGCAGGATAACCTCATAGACCCTCTGTTTCATCATCTACAGATTGTATGTGACAATGCTTCCCTCTCGGTGGTCGTAAGACCTGGTGGTGGTAAGGACTAAAGACAATGTATGGACACAACCTAGCATATGAAAATAGCCAATAACTGTGAGCTTGCTATCTTTATCAGTGACATGAACGTGCCTGGGGAGCAGAGGATAAGTAGAATTCAGAGACCCACACAGAGATTTGAGGAGCAACAGCAGATGTAGAAGGCAGGTCAGTGAAGGCAGGGCAGTGGGGAATATTTGGGAAAAAAATACAAGCAACCCAAAAAAAGGGCATGGAGTCTCAAACCGGTTGTATTTTTTAAAAAATATAATATAAGCACTAGATCTATTTTTTAGCTTGAAGTTTATATGATTCAATACCCTCATAAGAATTTTTATACAAAATAAGGTACAAAGTGAATGGTTATTTTGAATGAAGATATAAAATGTGTGTTGTATAAATTTTTAAAGGCTGACAGACTCTAAAAACATCACAAAATTTAGGAAAATAGCATAATATGACTGTGAACCAAAAAGGTTACATACCACTAAATTGAAGTATACGCTCAATGAAAATTCCTATTATAAAGATCCAAAATATTCCCCTCATTCTATCGCCTCCTGACAAAGACGGGTACCTCTGCAAGCAGAAAGACATGGTGGGTTTATTTGGGTGAAAATATCTTACTTTTGCTAATTTTACAAAAGCATACGATCACCTGGATGTGATGCTGGATCCCATGCCAATGAGTAGCCCTCAACATTAAGCCTCTTTTTTTTTTTTTTTTTTTTTTTTTTGGTGGCAAATCACCTCTGCGTAAGGACAATAGGAAGATCATTGGAGTGAGTCACCAAACTGTTGCTTTAGGAAGATAAATGCAGTGTGGGCATAACTAGAAAAGCAACTGAATATAGGGAGAGCAACATTTAGAATTCAGAAAAGTAAGAGACATCAGAGAATCAATACTTATTAGATGACTGACAAGATAAGAACAATGACAGAGAGGGAGGAGTCCAAAGTGCCAGGGATGTTAAGCTCATATGACTGAGGGAATACACACTAGAGGCTTTGGCAAGGAAACCGCTACTGTCTATAAGATAGTCTGTCCACTTCATACTGGCCATAGGCTTCAGGAGGTCAGTCACCCAGTGGCTGGAGAGAAAGGTAAATGCCCTCTTTCCAGTGTGATTGACCATATTAAGCACAGAAATTGAATAAATAGTTATTCCAATGCTTATGATGGTTAGAAATCAGAGAGAAACTGAGGCCCTTCTGTGGCAGCACTATACCCAGAGTCTAGGGATACTCAGCCTAATCTAGACCCAGTTTTTAGGAGACCCCAAAGAAACATATGCTCTAGCAACTAGAAGGAAAAGTGTTCCTGGTTACTGTGATGGCTTTTTGCAAATTCCTAGATGGCAGCTCTACTAATCTGGGATCCACCATGTGTAGAACTCCTTTGGCTCAGGTTAGAAACCTTCTCCTTCAATATAATCTGGACTCACAATCCCAACCATGTTAGGGAGTTGGAGGCAGATAGAGAGTAAGAGGCTGTTTGCCTACAGTGCCTCTGCTGAGCTGGGCTGTGCAGGAGCCTGGGCAATAGCCCCACGTGGCTTCCAGATGAAATGAAGAGCAAGCATCCAAATTAAGAGCAGGTAGCTGGCCAAACCCAGGTAAAATGAGCATTCCAGCCATGGAAAGGAGAAGCAAGAAGGGGACCACATACATATTCTGTCTGCAGCAAGCAACTGGACTCAATCTACCAACTTCCTTGACATGACTAACCACAAAGAATGATTCCAACTACTTCGCAGCAAATGTACTTTCTCCTCACATCACTGACAGGCAAGCCCTATTCTACTTCACAGATGAGCTGATCGGCTCTGGGTTTAACTACTTTATCTAAGACTATGTAGCTATAAAGGCAGCACCAAGCTAATAGTAATGATAGGTAACATAGTATTGTAAGTAGTTCTACTATATTAGCTCACTTAATGATCACCACAACCCTATAGAGTAGTGCTGTCATAACTAGTCTCATTTTACAGGTGAGCCAACTGAGGCATAATGAAGTCAGGTAGCTTGTCTGGATAAGAGGCTCAGATCTGAATGAAGGCAGTTAGGTTCTAGACCATGTGATATTCATCGGGCGCTGTTCTGCCTCTCCAAGATTTCCAAGTATGACTGCTGATGGAATCGGACATCCTTGTTCTCCACTCTGACCTACATTCAGAGCTAGATTCCTCCCCCATGTAAAGACAGAGAACATAAATCTGTCCCAAGAGCCAGCAGGAGAAGTAGAAAGCGGAAGGAACATTTTGCCCGGAAGGTACATTTTTTGGAAATGCAAAATGGAGATTTGCAAGTGTCCCTGAGGAGAAGGAGCCCTTAAGGATTTATTTGTCCTAGAATTGTAGATTTGAGAGTCAGAAGTAGGAGGGAATAGTCAGAGCTATGAGGTAGAATCTGCTCATGTGTAATTATGTAATTAAAATAATGATACCTTAGAGTCATTTACTACTTCATAATTTTCAAAACACTTTAACATATATTATTATATCTAATCACCTATAATATTTTAAAATTTAAGTGATACTGAATCTGCTGCATATTACAAAAAATATTTAAATGTGTTCCTGTTCCAGAGATAAAAGAACAAGATGACACAGGAAGGAAGGAAACTGGCGAATGCTGATCTCATGCCATGTGCCAAGAAAGGTGCTAGATGTTTATGCCATTATTTTATTTGTCCAGCAACAAATATATGAGAGCAAAACCACATCCTTATTTTACGGGTAAGAAAACAAAGTCTGAGTTTATATAACTTGCCCAAGGTCACACAACTAGCAGGTCTTCAGGCCAGGTTCCTGTAGGTCTGTCTAACTGCAGAGGTCATTCTCTTCTGCAACACTGCAGCGTGCTTCTGGTGCAGTCTTTCTGGATGTGTCAAGCCCTCATCCAGCATGTGGCACATGCCCAAATCTCTGCTTGCAAATCTCTGCTTGCAGTTTCGGTGACTCATAGTATTCATTTATAAAGTTCCGTCCATTCTAGATACATATCACTCAACACATTTGTACAAAATGAATAGACTGAAAATTTGGAAGTCTGTGTCAACGCATCCCCCTTGACCACCAAACTTCCACTCCTGCTTTAAGCTCAGGTCATCTGGTTGTGATTGCCTTCCACACGAAGAGCCTTTGCTCTAGAATCAAGCTGCATCCCCATCAGCATTGCTATTTCTCATTCATGAAGACTTGCTGAATTAACAGATTTTATCTGCCTCCTCCATCTCGTCTGTATTCTTTAATATCTGTCTCCCAGAACTTGTGTTGACCTTTGGAACTCATCAATTTCAACCCTGACACCTGCTGTGTCTCCTCTAAGCTCAGTCCCCTGCTGACAGAGCCTGATTGTTGACTACTTTTGCTAAGAGATTTTAGGAGTCAGAAAGGCCATTCAAACAAGCATGACATCGTATTAGATCCAGACAGGAAAAAGCCTACCATGCCAAATTGAATGAATGTGTTTTGTTGGATCCAGTTTTCCCTGGGCCAGACCATTTTTCTGGGTGGGCTTCCAACTACATGTTCAAAGTTACTTTTCAAACATCTAGAATAAAGGGTCTTGCATTGGGTCAATATGCTGTAGTGGATAAGATTGACTGGTTCAAGGTGAGTCATGTGTTTAGATCCTGCTCGCATTCCTTACTTAACGTGTAAGATTGGACAGTACATCTTAAGATATTTGAGACTCAGATTCCCCATTTATAAAACTGAGGGAATATCTATCTCCAGGTTCTTACATGAATTAATGAATGTGAAACATATGTTACCTATGGAGCACTCAATGAGGCTGTCACTATTAAATACTTTTATCATTAAGAGTTACAGGCATAAAATTTTTAAAGATTTATCAACCTGTTCAAAATGTTATTGGAGTTGCCTAGGGAGTGAAGTGTGATTTAAATCCATGGTGTTAAAATCACCTGGGGGAGTGTTTCAAAATTCTGATGCCCATCCCATCCTAGTTTAATTGGAAGGTCTGGGCTGCTGGGGCACCTGGGTGGCTCAGTCGGTTAAGTGTCTGACTTCAGCTCTGGTCATGATTTCATGATCCATGAGTTTGAGCCCCATGTCCAGCTCTGTGCTGACAGCCCAGAGCCTGGGAGGCTGTTTCAATTTCGGTGTCTTTCTTTCTCTCTCTGCCCCTCCCCCACTTGCACTCTGTTTCTCTCTTGCCTTCTCAGAAATAAGAAAGAAAAAGAAATCTCCCGGTATGAGAAGTCAGCATCTATAGTTTTCAAAGATCCTCAGGTGATTTCAATGTGCCACAAAGTTTGGAAACAGCTGATAGAGAAGAGTTGCTTTAAGTTCTTCAACTTCTATCTCAAAGACCAGTGTCTCCCCACACTCACCCCATGGTCCACCAGGGAAGGGCAGTGACCCTGGCTCCCCCTTCTAGTCTGTTGCTTTCCTTCCATTGGTAATGCACCCCATTGTTGGAAACCATGCTGAGCACTTCTTCAGGAAGGTGCCAAAGGCAGAGGATGTGGGATGTTAAGCAGCGAGCAGGTAGGGAGGCTGTGGAGACAAAAAATTCAGCAAAATACGGTATGAGGGATGTAGGCCTTTGGGGGCTGAAGTATGATACTATGATCGGAGTGGTTATTGAAATCCTGGTCAGTCCCTCTCTAAAGCCAGAGAGAGACCTTTCAATGCTTTCAGGGTGATTTCACTCCCACTTTTGTTCCTGCTAATGGGCTATGTAGAATTCTTCCCAGAAAAAAAAAAAAAAAAGGCTGAGCTTTTCAACTAAAGCTTACAAACAATGCCCCTTCTCAAAGGAATTAAGAAATAGGGATGATTAAAGGCACCAAAGAGGGTGTTCTTGTAATGACTGTCAAAGATGAACAAAGACGGACACTAGCTAAAAGGGTAAGAACAGATTGTAATCAGGAATATCTACTGCAATAAGGAGAGGAGTCCAGTGTGAACTAAACTCGAGTTTGATTTGTGCAGAGGTGGCTGGGTGTTTTAAAGGGAGGGTGGGGGATACCGAGGGGACAATGGGGGCTCAGTAGAGTCAGGAAGTGAAAAATGACAAAAAACAGCAAGTAGTTTGGCCACGTGAAACATCTGGGTTTTCTAATTGTTGCTCATTAACATTAGGCTCCTAGCCTCCCACTGAGACTGAAAAACAGGTGCCCTGTCTTCAGATGTTGGCTAGAAGAAAGAGTAAATTTTTTTTTTTTTACCAGCTTTAAGTTCTAAGACGAGAACTTTAAGGGGACCTGAGGATATCATAGGGATGCAGTTTTAAGCTGTTAAAAACTGTTAGTATTTGCTCAAGTCTTTATAGTGTTTTGTACAAGACAGGTCTGGGGAAGAGGGCTCAGAGGAGCCTGGCTAGAGTTTGGTCAAGGGGAGAGTCATTGTGAAGGCAGAGGCCTGATGAGTGTCTTTTATATTCTCTCTTCCCCTTCTGTCAGCAGGGGCCTTTCTGTTCGCCTACAGGAGGGAAGTTAAGCAGCTGTGTGGTGTGTGCTGTGTGGTGCAGAGCAGAGCGAGTTCTACAGACCCGACTCGCAATCAAAGAGGTCTTGCTACTCCATCTCAGGATCACCTCTTGTTTAGCACTGACTCAGACCCTTTGTTCTTCTCTCGTGGCCTCTCTTCTCCATAGCAAACCTGTGGTTCCACTTGGCCTCTCTAATGGTTTTGGGGAGAATATGCCAGAAAGAAAGTGGCAGGTGGCCACACAGTAGCTCCCATAGAAGTGGTGGTCCTGGCCATTGAGGCCTCAGCCCATTTATCAAGATCCAGCAGCTCTCAGGGCCTGAGAAGCTGCATTGTTGCCATGACAGTACAAAGAGGCTGGCCCTTCATGGACTCCCAAGTCCACAGAAGTATTTTTTTTCCTTAGGCATCTGCAGAAGGGGAAGAATCTCACAAACCACTACTCTATCGCGAGATAAGAAATACTATCACTTGGGGCGCCTGGGTGGCTTAGTTGGTTAAGCGTCCGACTTTCGCTTAGGTCATGATCTCACGGTTCGTGGGTTCGAGCCCCGCGTCGGGCTCTGTGCTGACTGCCAGCTCAGAGCCTGGAGCCTGTTTCAGTCTGTGACTCCCTCTCTCTCTGACCCTCCCCTGCTCACGCTGTCTCTCTCTCTCTCTGTCTCCTAGAAATAAATAAACATTTAAAAAAAAAAAAAAAGAAATACTATCACTTAGCCATTGCTTAATAGGCTACAGTCTGGCGAGTGCAGGGACCAGTCTCCTGAAGCTGTGGCAGGGTGGTGTAGGATGAGTATGCTTGGACTGGCCTCAGCAGGTGGCATCTCGGCTCTGCTTCTCACTGGCCACGTGACATTGACACTGCCTCTCTGCATAAGCTTCCAATCTGTAAGGTGGGATATGCTGGGGCTAATTATATGATTAATATGTAAAAGTACGTAAAACTCTTCCTGAGTTTTAAGTGCTTGCCGTTAGCATCCCAAAGTTTTCTATAACTAGTCTTTCCTTTTGGCAACAATTTATGCTGTGGATTACAGAGTTTTCTTGAAATGTCTTATATTTTTTTCAGTTTTTTAAAAATTTATTTAGAGAGAGACCTAGTGACCTAGCGCAAGGGGTAGAGAGAGAATCCCAAGCAAGCGCATGGAGCTTGCTTGTGTTCCCACAGTGATGTGGGGCTTGATCCCACAAACTATGAGACCGTGACCTGAGCTGAAATCAAGAGTCAGATACTTAACTGACTGAACCATCCAGGAACCCCAAAATTTCTTATTTTTTATGATTTAGACTCACTTCTTGTCTTCTGATTTCTGCCTTATCCTTGCTTTTATTCTTTCTGATTTCCCATTATCCACCCAAATTAAGCTATCCCAACATTTTGTCTATGGTCATCTTTCTCTTGATGTCTATATGTTCCCTCCAAACAAGTTCAATTTCTTCCTGTAGCTTCTTCTCTTATTACCAGGTAGATCACTTAGAGACTCTGCTCTGCCCTCCTATGGGGCTTGAAATTTCACTTTTTGGTTGGAATTTATATATTGATTCAGTGGTTGATCATCCTTGGCACTAGAAAGACTGTCTGAGTTTTGCTAGATGAGTGGTATAATTAGCAAATTACTTATTTTCTCCAAGACCTTCTCTCCCAATAAAATGGGAGTAATAATAAGTTTCTACTTCATGGAATAATTGTAGGCGTTAGATGGATATTTCAAATCAAATGCTTGGCAAAGTGCCTGGTGCATAGAATGTGTCTAGTTATTGTATTCAACTTCTCAAATCCAATGTGTCTAAAACCCAGATTACTGTCTACCTCCTGTAAAAGCCAACTCCTCTTCTAAATTTCTTATTACTGTTAATAGTACTATCATGTTCTTAGTCACCTGTTTTCATGAGTTGAGTCATCCTTGACTCTTCCCTTATTCACTCTATACCTGATGGGTCAGCAAATTCTATTGACTTTTGTTCAGGTCTTGGAAATACCTATTGTTTCCTGCCTCCTCACTCCCCATTTTAACTGTCACTGCTTTGTATCTTGTTTGGTCTACTACAGTAATCTGACAAATAATTTCTTTGAATTTAGAGCGGCATTACCTTTATTGGGATCATCAATTGCTACTGGCAAGATCAGGATCACAGACAGTGTTAGAGGCCTGAATAGGATGGGTGTGTGTTTGTGTGTGTGTGTGTGTGTTTAAAAATTTAACATTAAATGTTTTCAGCCTTTGCTGAATATCACAAGTCCCACCGTTTCCTTTGCTTTTTTATTCTGTTTGGTTCCTCTAGTGTTTTGGGTTTGCAACCTCTGTTAATTCGTTAACCCGATGATAATGTAATGAGCAATATTGTCCAAAATGACCCTGGAGTTAGCTGGGACTTGGGACTTCCATCAAAAGTTAGCTTGCCAAGGGGCACCTGGGTGGCTCAGTCGGTAAAGTGTCCGACTTCGGCTCAGGTTATGATCTCACGGTTTGTGGGTTTAAGCCCCGCGTCGGGCTCTGTGCTGACAGCTCAGAGCCTGAAGCCTGCTTCAGATTCTCTCTCTCTCTCTCTCTCTCTCTCACCCTCCCCTGCTCACGCTCTCTCTCTCTCTCCCTCTCTCTCTCTCAAAAATAAATAAAACATTAAAAAATTTTTTTAAAAAAGTTAACTTGCCAAGCAGTCTCTTTCTCCCACATAAGACATTGCAATATCTCATGGGTTCCAAGGTCTCCAAATTCTAGTTATCTGACTTCCTATAAATAGCTGGCATCTCAAATTCAAACTCTATGTGTAACTCAATAATTCACCCACAATAATGCTTAATTTTATGTGTCAACTAAACCAAGAGGTGCCCAGATTAAACACTATTTTCTGGGGGTGTCTGTGTGGGTGTTTCTGAATGAGATTAGCATCTGAACCTGTGGCATCTGAATCCGATCTTGTAGATTGCCGTCCCCAGTGTGCATGGGCATAACCCATTCTGTTGAGGACCTGAATAAGCAAAAGGGCAGAGAAATGAGGAATCTATCCTTTTTGCTTCCTGCCGGACTGCTTGAGCTGGGGCACCTGTCTTCTCCTGCCCCTGGACTGATATTTACATCTCCAGTCCCTCTGGTTCTCAGGGATTCAGACTTGGTGTAAAATTACACCACTGGCTCTCCTGGGTCTCCAGCTAAACAGACAGCAGATCATGAGACTTCTCAGCTTTCATACCTATGAGCCAATTCCTCATAATAAATCTCTTCATTTATGTTTATATGTATGTATTATATATACATATACATTATATAAAATAATATAATATATAATACATATATATTACACATAATATATATGTATATATAATATATATGTGTATATATATAAATATTATATATATATGTTTATATTTATTTATGGCATAATATATAATTGGTTCTATTTCTCTAGAGCACCCTGACTAATATATCCACTGATGGGCTAATCCCCCATACTTATCCTATAACAATGGAAACTGGACCATCAACTACTGCTTGGATACTGGTCAAGCTCAGCCTGGTCAAGCTCAGCCTTGACCAGTGTTGCCTTGAACCCAACACACATTTCTGTGGAACTAAAGGAGAATTAGGGCTATCATTACTCTTCTTCCTCCTGCCTACTTAAGCTTCCCTGGTAAAGCCTGTTTTTAATACATACAATGGGAAGTTGTGAACTTTGTACCAAACCCTAATGTATTACTGGTGGGAACCCAGAAGTGATCTACCCTCTTGAAACCATTGCTAGCCTGTAAGGTAAAACTCTTGACCAACTTGTCTCTCTAGTTTCTTCTTCCATTAGTCCTTCCAGTTAATCTTTTATGCACACTGAGGTACTTACCCTTTTACATCACTACTTTGTGGTTCACCACTTCTACCCTTAGTAAGCCCTCCTCCCACTCCTGTCTCTTCCTGTGGGAATCCTGCCCACCTTCCACCATCTATTTTAAAGGGCGTCCAGGAAAACTTCCCTTAAAGACCAATTCAGTTAAGGTATCTTCCCTAGATATTCTTTTTCAAACCATCCTTATAGCATCTAACACACAGTGCCTTAGCTTGTGAACATTTGGATACATGTTTTGCTTTTGGTTTTGTTTTTAATCCCTTCTCCTTCAGAAATAAGACCCTGTTACTTATCATTATATGTCCCATGGCCAGCACCTACTGCTCTGCTTGAAGTATTCCATAAATGCGTGGTAAAATAGGACTTTTGTGTCATAGCATGTATGATGGAAACGGTGGTCCATTGAAATGTTGGGGACTTTCAAAACTAACCCGAAGCTTTTTTTGGATTTTAAAAACTGTACAAGCCAATGATTTGTTGAACGCAAACTACAACTACATAGCCTTTCTCTGCCATTCTGACTCACTGGAGATTATGTCCTTCAGGCCTGAGTATCTGGCAAGTACTCTGAAATGAGTTTCCTGTTGTTGTTATTGTTGTTTTTCTAAGTCACACACAGTGAATAGCCCTGATACTTTTATTTAATTGTGTTTGTCCCTTAAATTAAGCAGCTTGGTTAGGCCACGGGACCACACTTCCTAGCCAGCCTGCTTATCAACAAACCAGTTGTTTTCTGTATGTCGGCCACCATACCTATTTTACTGTTTTACTCTTTTATATTAAAATAGATTTCAAATACGAGTGAATACTTGAAAAGAAGTCTGCGTGATAAAATATCTCTCATCTTATGTAAAATAGGGCTGTATCAAAAGGGTGTAAAATGTCTGGATTTAATGTCAAAACAATCTCAGTCTTTGACATAAGCCATACATCTGCCAAGTATTTTCCTTTTACTCCCACAAGATGTTTGGTATCCTTTAGAATAAATTTTTAGGTTTATGATATTTGGATTGACTTATTCTGGCCTAAAATAGGGATAAATGGAAAGCAGAGCTGTCTATATCCATCTAGTTTTTTTGACCAAATTTAGTTGGACATAAAGTGACTAAAAATTCCACTTCTAAACAAGACTAACAAGGACTTGCTTTACCTTCTGTGTGCACTGGATGTTTGTGCCCCCTCCCCCCTCACAAAGTCCTGTGTTTAAGCCCTAATCCCCAATGTGATGGTATTAGGAAGGAGGGCCTTTGGGAGGCCATTAGGTTCACATAGGTTATAAGATTTAGAGTTCTCATGGTTGGATTAGTGTAATAAGTACACTTCTTATAAGAAGAAAAGGAAGAATGACCAGCACGCTCTCTATCTGTCCACCCTGTAAGGACACAGCAAGAAGGCAGCAGCCATCTGCAAGCCAGGAAGAATGTCTTTACCAAGAACCCAATCTGCTGGCATCTTGATCTTTGACTTCCCACCCAGAACTGTGAGACGTAATTATCTTTTGTTTAAGCCACCCAGTCTATAGTATTTTTGTTATGGCAGCCTGATCTGATTAAGACATCTTCCTGTCTTAATTAAAAAATAAGACAAAATATGCAAAACAATAGCCTTCAGACACTGAACAACAGAGTATGCATAACAATGACACTCAAGAGAAAGGGTACAAACAAGATGAACCCTGTGGTTGTTCCAGCCTACTGCCTAAAGAAATTTTTCAGCAACCAATGTAATAAAAGGAACCATAAATGGAGCCTGATAGTCTTTCTGTGTTGGGGAAACACATTTGGATTTCAGGGAGACCAAGGAAACTAGAATTTGTGGGACAGAATACCAGAGACAAAATAGCTTCATAAAGAGAGAGTTTCAAAGATCTTCAAAGAGTTTTCCTTGGGTCTTTATTGAGTATTGATCAGGGAACATTAACAAACAACCAATACCTAGCAAAAAACCATCACAAAGAAATAGGAAGAATACTTGGAGTTCACACAGGGCCAAGAGTAGTTCCACCTGCCAAAGTGGAAATATCTCCTAATAGAGGTGCATCAGGTAGAGTTTTCAAAGGTATTGGTTACAAGTAGGATAAATTAGCCCCAAATAAAGGCTGTTCTATCCCCAATTAATGACTATTAAAAGCCATCCTTAAAAGGATTAAACAAGTGGTTTAACTGCATCCCAGAACAAAGCTTCAAAATATTTAAGGAAACAACACACACACACACACACACACACACGGCATCCACCAACATAAAATTCACGATGTCTGGCATACACTGATAGTGTCACATATACCTAACTCATTGGGGAAGTACGAAATATACTGTTTCTTGACTGAATGAAGAGAATAACTTGTGAGCTGTCCTTTTCTAACCTTTTATTTGGTGAGGAGGATAGTGGGGAAGACTAGCTAGGTTTACATTGCTCTACTATCTCTGTCTCATAGTCTGTGGGCGCCAATGCACAGTATCTATTGTTTTAGCCTTGATTTGACATTGAAGAACACTAATATTTACTTTGTTGTCACTATCTCTGAAAACTCTATGGAGAGGGAAATCTATATTACTGGTTGGATTTCAATTGAAGGTAGAAAAACAATATACTGCACCATTTATGCCACCAATAAAATAACACTAATTTTTTTTGTTTTAAATAAGATTTTTCTGAGGTTGTAAACAGCAAATAAGATCTATTTCTTGTATTATTCTCTTATTTTAAAAACAAAAAAATACAACAACTCGCTGTGTTACAGCACCAAGTCTAAACCATTCAAAGTCATTTAGCATGCTGTGAAGGAGCTAGCAGATGATTTGGAGCCAGACACATCTAGAGTTGGTACTACTATTTATTAGTCCTATGACTTGGGCAATTTATTTAAACTCCCTGAGTCCCAATATATACCTTTATAAAATGGAGATAGTGACACCTCAGAGGGTTATTGTACAGATTAAATGAGGTCATGAAAATAAAGAGTCTCTCTCACTCAGCTCTTGGCACTCAGTAGGTGATCAACGAATGTTATTCCTCTTTTCTTCCATTCATATATCATTCTTGCCAAAATATCCTAGTATAATTTAAAATTTTAAGCCAGTAATGAACAGATTCATAGCTTTAACTCAGTATTTGGAAACATAAATTTGATCGCTTCCTGATCAAGATGGCAGACAGAGACACATGCATGCCAAAATATCATTAAAATTAAAGTACAAAAGTACAAAATGGAATAACTCCTTAACAGAATGAGAAGAATGCCTCAGCAAATCAGACATTTGGAGAAGTGAATGGGACCACATTGACACAGAAGCCACCACCATTCAAGAAAAATCCCAAAGAAGACTACATTAGGAATATGAGCTGTATTTCCTGGCAGAATTCTGGCAAGGCTTCAGGCTCAGAATAATTAGGCAGGGAAAGCAAGAAACGTTGTGGGGTAATAATCTGAAAATTTTTAACCATCTATATAAAAGCTAGTTCAGTAGACTTCTTTCAACTCAAATATACCTACATACACTAAGAAACAGAAAGCAGTGCATTTGCCTCCCTAGCTAAATGTGGAAAATGGTTTTCCAAAAGTCTTAAACAATCTATCCATATAAGGTTAGGATTCCTAATAAAGATATGTGTGCCTAAGGATGAAGCACTCCTCTTCCAGTAGAGGGGAAGGGCAGTTTGCCTACCTAATCCCTACCTGGGCACCCTAAAAGGACACCTTGAAGGCAGCTTGTCATGCCCAGACATCCAGCACTTGTAGTCAACCCTTTAATTTAAGAAGGGTTTTGTTTGTGTATTTTTTTAATGTTTATTTTTGAGAGAGAGACACATAGAATGTGAGTGGGGGAGAGGAAAGAGATAGGGAAACACAGATTCTGTTTTTATTTTAATGTTTTATTTATTTCTGAGAGGGAGAGACACAGTTTGAGCAGGGGAGGGTCAGAGAGAGAGGGAGGCACAGAATCGGAAGCAGGCTCCAGGCTCTGAGCCAGCCGTCATCACAGGGCCTGACACGGGGCTCGAACCCATGAATTGTGAGATCATGACCTGAGCCAAAGTTGGACGCTTAACTGACTGAGCCACCCAGGCACCCCATGTTCTGAAGCAGGCTCTAGGCTCTGAGCAGTCAGCACAGAGCTCAACATGGGACTCAAACCCATGGACCATGAAATCATGACCTGAGCTGAAAGTCAGACACTTAACCGACTAATCCACCCAGTGCCTTGGTTTGCTTGTTTTAAGAACCATAGTTAGATTGTCAGAATAAGTGTAGATAATCTACCCAAGTATCTATGGCCGTCCACTTCATTGATTATTCATACGTATAATAGAAAGTCAAAGACAGCTAGGCATTTTAGGAAAGGAAACAGCTTGATATCAAGTGCCAAAATGAACACACAGATTGAACTGAAGGAAAACATATAATTCAGTGAAGTTGAAATAACTTCTTTAATTCTAATTTTTATTTTTAAAAAGAGTTGAGAAGATAATTGTTTTCATTACAAGAAAACCACTAGGAAAAAAAGAAAAAAAAAAAAAAAAAAAGAACACAGAAATTACCTGAACTACAAAAGGGTGAGAAATCAAAGTGAAAAAATCACATAGAACACACAGCCAGTAGACATCTTATGATTTGGACAGTTTATCTATACAACAATTTATTTAATTTCCAATTAAGTTGGGAGTTAAAAGTATGGGAGAATTGGGGCACCTGGGTGGCTTAGTCGGTTAAGCGTCTGACTTTCGCTTAGGTCATGATCTCGCGGTTCGAGGGTTCGAGCCCCGCATCAGGCTCTGTGCTGACTGCCAGTTCAGCACCTGGAGCCTGTTTCAGAGTCTGTGACTCTCTCTCTCTCTGACCCTCCCCTGAGCCTGTTTCAGAGTCTGTGACTCCCTCTCTCTCTGACCCTCCCCTGCTCACGCTGTCTCTCTCTCTCTCCTAGAAATAAATAAAATATTTAAAAAAAAAAAGTATGGGAGAGTAACTAAAGATACGAAGTTAGAAGATCTATATTTAATAAGAACCCAATATTATGGCTTAAAAGCTAGAGTATTCAGTGCATGCTAAAAAGTTAATTAAGGTGGAAGAAGGATAATTAATTAAGGTGTAAATTATTTAATGAAGAAAGAGAAGAAAATTTACTGAAACTAGAGAAAAATAGAAGTGTTTAATTGGAGTATGAATGAGACAGAGTAGCGGCCATTGACAAAGAGCTGTACAGGAAGGTCATGCTTGAAGTACAAAGCAAAATGTGGCATGGAAAATTTTAAGAGATAATTATTATTTTGACTGATGCAGAACACATTCTTCTTTCATCAGCAATTCTATATGATGTCAAATTTTATTTCTTTTTTGGGTTCAGGTACACTAGTTGGTTCTAAAGGGAGTAGCATTTGGATAATGAAAGCATTAGTACTGCTTATTTACATTCAGATTTTTAGAGTCTCAAGCTATTGAGATCTCTGAATTAATTATGTTTTTATACTATAAAGCAAATTTCATAAGTTGATAAGTTTCTTAAACTGATCTATCAAACAATGGACTCATATCCATGTTATTAAAATATTGTTAACCAGCAGAAATCTAAACACACGAATAGCTAAAAGTGCTTACCTGTGAGGTAATTGGAACGGGCAATGGCATAATAACTTTTTGCATTGCATTTAATACTGTTATGTCCACACATTATTTTTATAAGAAAACTGTTGACCAAATTAGAGCAATTATGAACAAATTTAGACAATTTAGAGAGTGCCCATAAGCTATCATAATTATAATTTACGTGGCAAAGTTACTTGGGAAGTAAATGAGATAGTAAATTCAGGAATGATTAGTATTTAGGAGAGACACATCCACAGCATTCTGTTGTCTATAGTTTGTTTATAATTTATTAATGTCTCATTCCACATACAGCTTAGATTTGTTCCTTTATTACAATCAGATCTATCTCCTCCTTTGAGTACCATGTCTTTGTTCTAAGTTTTTGAAACAATTGGCAAGTTGATGTCCCATGTAACTAGGATATTCTTATCAAATACTCCCTTTCATACAGCCATGTGATAATTTTTGGAGAATTCATTATGTGGCCCGGGTTAGCAACAGTGCCTATTCATATAGATACGCTGCCTTTAAGGAACCTACAGGCCATCAACAAGGAGGCACTTTTAGGATGTTGTGGGAACTTCTAGGATCAAGGTAAGTGAAAAAGATTTTCTTAATTCAGCCAAGCAAGATCATAGAGGTGTCCAGAGTGAACGATGTTTGAACTCTTGAATGGCTAGAAACTGGTGGTCAAAATAGGGTGAAGAATTGGATATGGCTTTCTAGAGAGATGGAGTAGCAAGCATAAGTCATGGGGACATCAGACCAGATAGTTTGGGGAAAGATTAAGCGGTCTATGTGCCTGGTTCACAAGTTTCATGTGAAGGAATGAATGAGGATTAAATTTTGTTAATGTTTATTTATTTATGAGAGAGAGAAAGACCGAGTGC